GGGTTCAGCTCTATATGCGTTTAAGGGTCTGGCAGGTCGGGTTGCTCCAATTGGGGTACATTTGGCATTGTTGTTAGTAATGTCAGGAGGAACTCTTAGTGCCACTGGCAGCTTCAGAGGGTCCGTGAATGTTCCACAAGGTCTCAACTTCATTATAGGCGACATACTTGGGCCCACGGGGTTTTTGTCTACTCCTTCAGAAGCATTCAATACTGAAGTTCATGTCAATAGATTCTACATGGACTATGCTGATGATGGACAGGTATGGCTGCAGGGGTTTTCCTACAATATTACTGAAATAAAGTTTATTTTCAAAAATATGAATACCGTCAATGTTACTGCATAGTAAAATTGAAAATAACTGCAAAAATACCGACACTGTCATAACTCATAATCATTGAGTTGTAAAAGTCACATTTGTCCATTACTTGGACTTTAGTCATTATTTCAAAATTATAAGGACTGATCAGTAATTTTTTTTGTAGTATAGATTTCACAATTTCATACTGATCTATCACTAAATGACCTCAATGGAAAGGAGGTAATGAGGAAGACAATAAGTGTGAATGATCCATTGAGGTATTGTGACATAACCATATACCAAACAGATTGGAGCTTTTCAGCACTGCAGATCATGAAGGATGATGAAGGACCCTTCAATTTGGCCATGGCTCCTCTAAAGATTAATGGAGACAAGAAGCTATTTGGTACATTTCTGCCTGTCGGTGATGTTAATTCTCCCAATGTAAAGGGAATGTAAGGTTTATGACTGTGACTGTTAAGAGTGTTCCATGATTATATGTATATATAATGATATGGGTTCAACTAGGTGATATTTGACACCCTTCTCTGTTTCCCCCCTTTTATTTGTTCGAGAATCCAGATCGATGCTGGCACGTGATTTGCAATCAATTATCCTTTATGATAAAGAAGGGAAATTTGCCGGAGTCAGACGGCCCAACTCCATGCTCCCGATTGAGATTGATGGGACGAAAGTTGAGATTGTAGATGCAATTGGTAGTACTGGCCTTGAGCTGAAGGTAATAATATACCCTATAGTGTATGTCCGCATTCTGTAAATGCTAGAAAAATGGAAAATAGATACAAAGTAAAGTTATTTTCTTAGGTCAGTTTTACCTCGATAAGCGCAGAGGAAATGGAAAATGATTAGTTTTAAAAATTATATATATGTAGATTTTTTGTGTATATATAATAGACATAAATAAATAAATAAAATGAATATCAACAAATATCTAATGTACTCCCTCTGTACCTAAATATACTCCCAACTTTCCTTTTTGGGCGTCCCAAAATAAACTTCCACTTTCCTTTTTTGGTAATGAATTTGTGGTTCACAACAATTCTTACACATTTCTCTCTCTTCTGCACAACTCTCCACCACACAATACCACTATCTTAATCCCCGTGACATTTGTACTATGGAAGTTCTTTTAGGGAATGAAGGAGTAAGATTATTTTGAAAATTTCGTATATAAGACTAAACACAAAGTATTTATTGTTTTAGAATATATGTCTCACTGACAAAAAATGTTGTTGAAAGCTTTTGTTCATTTCTCAGGATTCAATGAATCTTATTTTTAGTACAAAATACGTAGTAATAGACTCCTATTTGTGCACATGAGTCGTGACTTCCGCATGTTTTCTATAACTTGTTTAAGTTTTTTTAGTTTAACAGTACTTTATATGTATCCGTGTATATATAGAGAGAGAAATCTGCAGGTCCGGAATTCCGGACCAGGGCCGCTGTCCGGACAGCGGCGTTTGGCGGTCTTCCCGGTTGAGTTTTTTGATGAAATTTTTATAGCATGTTCTACATCAAGTCTAGTTTATCCACACAAAAAAATCAGCTAAAAACTCAATCGGGAAGGTCGTCAAATAATTTTTGGAAGTTAACTGCGTTTTATATGTATTTTCCGACGCAGTTATCTTCCAAAAATCATTTGACGACCTTCCCGATTGAGTGTTTAGCTGTTTTTTTGTGGATAAACTAAAGTTGATGTAGAACATGCCATAAAAATTTCATCAAAAAATTCCACCGGGAAGACCGCCAAACGCCGCCGTCCGGACGGCGGTTCCGGTCAGGAATTCCTGACCGGAAGACTACTCTCTCTCTATATATATATTTATTTATTTATAATAGTTATGATGTATACATTCAGAAATGACGTTAGAAGTTTTACTAGGTTGCAAAAAAATAAATCCGAAAACGAAAAAAATTATTATATAAAAGTAACGATTAAAATAGAGTTAAGTTGACTAAATGAATAGAATATGAGAACCTTTAAATGAATAGGAGTACTTTCTTGTACCATATGAGTTGCATTATACGAAGTATTTTATTTTTTTATGCATCAGGAAAACGTATTTATTCCCCCCACATTTTTTTCCTATTAATTTTCATCTATGTTTTCTTTCTATTTTTCGTTCCCTTGTATTTTATGGGTTCTAAACAGACCCAGAGGTGCCAATTGTCATGCTTTTATTTTTTTGTATTGTATTTTGTTGCGTATAAAGATGTACTGAAATAGAGACTGCACTTCAGACTGATCCAGGGGTGCCAGTTGTGTACGCTGGTTTTGGAGCTTTAATGCTTTCAACATGCATCAGTTACTTGTCACATGATCAGGTGAGTTCTGTTTGACAATGGATCCACTCTGTAGTAATTGTTAACTTGTTAAGTCGACCCGAATTGTTAAAATATAAACTACTAATACTAATTTTATAGTGGAGTTATGGTTTGAATTTGGGTTTCCATATAGAAAGATCAACTTAATAGAAGCGGTACAAAGTCTTTATGTCAGTTTGTATCTTAGAAATTTGTTGTCGTCAAATGATTTAACATGCCTTGTGAGTAAGAGGCTCGTTAGAGCGAAAGCAGAGTACCTATTACAATTTGAGTTTCCCATATTAAAAGATCTTAGAGATGATGTCCAATGACATACATGTGAGGTTGTGTCTTCGCATTTGGTCCATGAAATAATTTAACCTTGTAATATAGAGAGAGGCTCAATCCTAATATTCTTGTGCTCTCTTTGAGTCGTAGTAGATCGTGTTGCTCGTTTTAGAATATGGACTTGGATACCATGTTAGGATTTGATGTTCAACAACAACATCCACGTCTTAGTCCCAAAAAATTTTGGGATCGACTAACATGAATCGATACATGATATCAGAGGCAAAAGGCAAAGAAAGGTAACAAAGATAAAATAATAAGGTCTGATAAAAAAGATAAATAAAGGTAAAGATAAATATAAGATAAAGATAAAAATGATAATATAAAAAGGATAAAAAGAATTTATAAAATAGAAAGGATAAAAGGATAAAGAACAGAAGAAAGATAAATAAGATAAAAAGATGAAAAGAGATGAATCCTCCACCTTTCAAAAAACGAAATAAATCCTCCACACGAATAACAAAAGATTTGATGTTCCCTACTAAAAAAATAAATATAATAGAGAAGTAGCTCAAGGCCTTTATATGACGTGAATTTGTATCATTGTAGTTAAATGTTCCATTATATCAATCTGGATTGTTAACTGAATCCTTTCTATAAATTTATCTGCACATGTATGAGTTGCCTGTAATTTTAGTAGTGTTGACTGTGGTTGGCTTTGTCTGTTTTCTCGCATCACCTAATAAAAGATATGGGCATTACAAGATGGAACAAGTGTGGTAGTGGGAGGAAAAACTAACCGCGCAAAAGCTGAATTTCGAGATGCAATAAGCCGGTTGCTTGATGAAGTCCCTGAAATAGTTGAATCTTCTTCGTCCAAGGAATCCAGCGATCAATAGCTCTGAGGCATTTTACTTGAACCAAAGCAGCAGTGTAAATAACTTTAAGTCTGCAACAAACGGAGTTGACCAAAAGGACGCTTGACTTGTTCCGATAAACTTGGAGAAGAAACCATGGTTAGGTGGGTCTTACATAACCTTGGCAGTGCCAAGGCATTGGTTTACTTCTTCAAGAGAAGCTTGGCTGGGGAAATTCTTTAATGATGTTTTGATTAGAACACAAACACTTTAAGGTCTGTCTGGTGGATGTAAATATTGGTTAAATGGTTGGCTGGGCCGCGGTTGTTGAAAGTATGGTTGAAATGGTAGGATTTCCTAAAAATGTATTGAAATTAAATAGCCCCCAACATAATGATATCTGAAACATATTTAGATGAGGGTGAATTTTGTCTTCACTTCTTTTTTGCATTCTGGCTGAAACTCCTAAAAGGGTTGTAATTTCTTTTTTATCAATACTACTATTATAATTATTATGGTTACCATTACTACCGTTGTAATTGTGATTACTGCTACTACCTGGAATGAGATTAGCATTCATCATTTTGGCGGTTAACTTAACTCACGTTTTAATGCTAATTTATGTAATCAATTGAGTTTTTGATGGGATTTTAAAATATGTAGCCTAGTTTTTAATGTTTTTATTAAACGGGGACAAGTCTATATGTGGACATTGATTATTAATCTCAATTCAAATATGAGATAATGAGGAATATATGAATACGATAAAGGTAGTTGACAAAATTGTGGTTTTTTAAGTTTTAGTGGCTATAATAATAACTTTAATGACCATGATTACGATTATTTTACAGTGTAATAATGTTGCAATAATGTTTAAGGAAAAAACTCTTCAAGTATTATTAACATAGGACTTATATGCGTCAAGTGGCTACTATTATTATTGTTCTCATGAGAGATGAAATTAAAGCTAGAAAAGAAGTTAAATTGAAGGTTTGAATTTTTTTCCTGAAGAGGCTATGGTTGTTGGTGGTTTAAGGATCATTTACCTTCTAGACTTTGTATCTCTTTGTTGGGTACATCAATCATTGTAACAATGTTGAACGGATACACGATTACATCGTTACAAGGATATGGATACAGCAATATAGCAAATTTTAAAAAATATACTAGTAGGATACAAGTACAGCTTCAAGGGGTATATTTCCAAATGCTAAAAATATAAGGGCTAATTTGTAACAAAAAAACAATTTTATTTTATTTTGAAGGTTCATAAATTAACAAAAGGAGTATGAAATGCTATATTGATTGGTTCCTTGTAGGTTTGGTTCTTATAGATGTCCAAGCTTCACTTTCTTTTTGTCCTCGCCTGCTTTGTAGTCATTGTACAAATAATTATTGCATTTATGGCAACATAAGGAATTCACATATACACTATTCTTATGTGACTTCAATTACATTACATGTCGACGGTTCAATTACTACAAGTGAACCTCTCATCGAGTAAACGTAACCCAGGTTATATGGTCCTATTGCAGTTCTTCACGCTTTATATCAAACACCTTGATGAGTACATCTTCCACAACCTGAACATTTTCATTCATTGTTCAAAACTTCAAGAGTTGTGAAATGCAAATGTAATGATATAATAACATGTAACATGCAGTTATCAACACAATGAAAATTAATACTCGCTCCATCCAACACAAATAGATCACTATTCCATTTCCATTTTGGTCCGTACCAGAATGATAGTCTGGTTTTTTTGTGTGCAACTGATTTGTAAATTCTGAATTTACCCCAGCTTAATCATCCACGCTAGTAAAAATCCTAAATAGGATATGGTCAACTTTACAAAGGGTAAAAATGGGTATAAAATTATTTGTTGCACTAACTTAAGTGCTGTTTCTTAATTCGTGCCTCATAAGTTGGTTTGTATCTCTATATCTGACCGTGAGTAACCACTCTTGCATTCATTTGGCAGGTGTAAGTTTGTAAAATGAATGAAAATGAAAAGAACAAGTAAGCCAGACCAATGCTTGTTGGAGCACAAATTTAAGAAGAGTTTATGTAGTACGAGGTAATTAATACCTTATCGGGAGTGGATGCACCAGATGTTATCCCTATTGTGAGGGGTCCTTCAGGCAGAAAATTCTCCTTCTCAACCAACTCGCCGTGCTTTTTCAAAAGAATGTACAGAAAATAAGGGAAATATGTGCAAAGGTGGAAACTTCATACTCGCATAATTCAAAATATCATGTTATCACGAGTGCTCACCAGTAGCTTGTAGCTTATTTTGTTCCCAGGTCCAATTCTCTGCTCGCTGTCAACCCAATATGACGGGATTCCGTGTTCCTCTGCAATCTCTTGTAGGTGTGAAGTGTTGCTTGAGTTCCAACCACCAACTACCAACATAAGATCCACCTTGTCCTCAACTAGCTTATACATGGCATCTTGTCGCTCCTAAGATTACATCCAATTTATCATTAAGAATGCAATAAATGGCAATAGTAGCCATGAAATTCATGGAAAAGATACATGGCATACTTGAGTAGCATCACAGATAGTGTTGAAACTCATGAAGTGATTATTGATGTTTTCAACTCCATACTTGCGCATCATGGTCTTCTCAATTAACTTTCCTGCATTGAGCGAAACAGAACAACCATATTTAGAGGGTTTTGGACAGGGAGGCGTTATTTTTCTTTTAAAAACATTAGTTTGACATATTTTCTCGAAATAAAAGGTATAAAATGGTTTAAACTCAACTCTTTGTCATTTATTAAGTCATTTATATGTTATCATGAACTCTCTCCTCCCTTCACCTCCAAAACCCTCCAAAATCTAATTCCCACACCCTGAGGGTCAGGTTGGATGGAGGTGGGTGGGGGTGGGGTGGAGGGTTCTAGATGGGAACACTTTGAAGGGCTTAGTCTTTCTCTTGATGAAGAGTATTTTTAAGAACAAATAAAGAGTGTTCGAAATGTTATCTGATTCAGATATTATGTTATTCCTTCAATTCTTGTAAAATCTCACTTACGAAGTATATATCTGGGTATAGTTAGGATGTTTTCTTTTGGACTATTTTCAGTCTCAGACCAGATTTTCGTAGTTATAAAATACATAGAGACCAGGCAATATAAGACCAGACTAGTTCAGACCAGACCAGACCATCCTTCCCTAACCCTCCTTCCAAACTGACCCTAGATGGACAAAAAAAGGCATGTGACGTAGAAAGAGACTGACCAATATCTTCAGTTTCTCCCTTCAACATTGTTGTCTGGTTAGCAATACCAGCTTTACAGAGATCGGTGTCTGGATCAAAACCTTTGGAAATTGCAAATTTAAATTTCTGCACAAAAATATAAATTTCAAAGAAGCATGTCTCATCATAATAAACAATGTGACATCAAACGAATGGGAAAGGGAAGAGGCTCATTCTCACCTCTAGAAACGCTTCTTTTGTTGAGCTAGATCCATCAAGTTGACCTCCAAGAATATAATCACAAACATAAGTTGCCTGCACCAAGTGTATAGTTCTTGATATTATAAAACTTTGAGTTGTCTTCCATGCATTTCTAGAAAGAAAAAAGATTTCAACACTTTACATTGTTTGTATTGATAAGGAGACACGCAGCAAATATACCTCTGCCATGTTCTTAACTATGATGTATTTTCTTGCAAATGATGCAGTGGCTATAGTTTCTTCATGAGCATATTTTCCATGAATGACAGAGGTGTATTCCCCTTTCTTGTGTTTCTCAACCACATTCCAAACCTGTAAATAAAATTGGAAAGACCCAAGATAAAATACCCTTTGGCAACTTAGAGCCTGTAAGGCCTGAAATGTGAATTTTGGTTGAATCTACAAGGATTGTGACTCAAATTGCCTACTTTGTTGAATTATCTAATACTCGTATTTAATATTTACGGAGTATAAATTAAAGAAAAAACATCTAAAGCCTAAGGATTAAGTGTCTTTTTTATATTAATATAATCCTTTTTAGGAACATAATAATAATAATAATAATAATAATTTGAATCACTTTTAGATGATCTAAAGAAGTCTTTGGTGATAAAATGGGCGACAAACCCAAAAAAGGCTATTAAACGTACAGTTAGATAAATATTCTTGAAACTATAGATGACCCACCTTAGAAACCCATGGGCAGGTAGTATCAACTACTTGTACATTCTTTTCACTAAGAGTTACCAGCTCATCAACGGAGGCCCCAAATGCAGGCAAAACCACAACATCACCCTTTTCCACAACTTTAAAATTTTTATTTCCTTGATCTACAGGTATATTCTTGACTTCCATTTCCTCTAGGCGCTGGACACAATGAAGGCAAACATTTCAGAATAAAAGCACCAAATTCAAATACATTGTACTATTAGCCGATATGGTCAAACTAATTTCAAAATATAGACCAACAAAAAGGATAAACCAAAATGTGGCACCTTATTTACTGTAGGGTTGTGTATAATTTCATTTGTGAGCCAAATCGTTTCAGTTGGGAATTGCTTTCTTGCTTCATACGCTATCTGGACTGCTCGCTCAACCCCCCAGCAGAATCCATACGCTTCTGCAAGCTTGACTGTTACATTTCCCCATGTATATTCAAAGCCATTCTCTTTCAACTTCTTTATAATATCACCTGAAATGTGAAGCATGTTTTGAAAAGTTTGTGAATGCAGCACTCCTATAGATTCGTAGCAGACAAAAACAAAACTCGGAACATCAAAGTCAAGCACGAAATTGGGGGGAAATTACTGGTATACTCGCGATTCATGAGTTCGAGAGTTTCTTCTTTATGACCAAATCCCTTGCGATTGTAATTCGAGCTTCTGGACAAATTCTTCCGGAACGCCTTAGGATCAAACTCCGAATCGACGATCACTGAAGAAGAGGAGGATGAAGCTGTTGTGGGGAAGCATCTGATGACAGCGAAAGGCTTCCTGAGCTGGAAAATCCTAGACTCCGGCGAGAAGATATCCGTACGGGTTGGAAAACGAGAGAATTGCAGAGGAATTGCCATGACTTTTTTGGGAACGTTGAGATAACTCCCGTGCGTCACTCGTGAAACGCTTACTCTGTTAATTTCCATTTCATATACTCCGTAGGAATTTGGTCGATGACTCGATGTCATGCTCCCCGTACAAGTCAATCTGGTATCTACCGTGAAAAATGCTTAGGTTATGTTTGGAAGTTTGGAAGGAAAGAGGAGGAGAAGGCTTTGGAGGTAGGTTGTTGGAGTGGAAAGGACGGGGTTAGGAAGTCTTTGAGTAATAAAATTGGAAGGAGAGAGTTTTTTGAAGAAATTATAATTAAAATCACTTTGAGATATGACGAATTCAAATCAATGAGTTGATATTCGTTTCTAATTTAGCTTAAATTACCATCTTTTTAATTATCCTTCAAAATCCTCCAAATTGGGGGAACTTAAAAATTAAGCATTTGTAGGGTTTTGAAGGGTTACAAAAGCCCTCCAAACCCATCCCTCCAATTTTTTCAACTCCCAAACATGAAAAAGAGGATCATAAACCCTCATTAACCTTCCACTCCCCTCCAAAACCCTACTCCCAAACACATCGTTAGCTATGAAGCAGGGATACTTCCCTAGGGTAGCGTATCGGCGTATCGGATACGTTCCCGTATCCGATACTCTAGGATACCCGTACCGTACGTTCCCGGGCCGTATCTGTAATTTTTAAAAGTTTCCATTTTTTTCTTGGTAATTTTTTGAAAGTTTCCAATACTCGTATCCTGATGGATACCCGTATCAACTTTGTTGAATAAAAAACCCCAAAATTTACTTAATAAAATTCTAAAAAAAATGAAAATCTAAAACTACATTTTACTTGGTAATCAAATAATGGGCTTATATGGTATATCTGAATCAACTCAATCAAGTCATCAACTCATACTCCGTATCTAATTTACTGAGCAAGTCCAGAAGCCTATCTCTAACCCAGTATTGGAGGCCATTTTTTTGGAAGATGATATTATTCCTGGAAATTAATACTTCCGGTGAAAATATATATTAGAAGTTAGAGCTTTTAAAATATTGTTTTTTATCTTAATTATTCTAGAACTTTGGTACTTGCACTTTTAATTTCAAGATTGTAGTTGTTTGACTTATTTCTCATTTTAAATTAATGACTTATCGACTACATGTCTACATTTATATTTCGAGATGCACTAGTGTATATGAGAAATATTATGATGTATATGTAATGAATGAGTATATATGTATATATAGGATATATATATATGTGTGTATATATATATATCCAACAAAATTATTATTTTTGTATATTTCATAGGATATTATATGTATATATTTCAGAAAAAAAACTATTTTTAATATTTATAAATACACCCCCTGTAACTTTTAATATTTTTAAATACACCCCCATAACTTTTAATATTTATAAATATGGCCCCGTATCCGTATCCTACTTTTTTTTTGTTTTGCCGTATCCCCGTACCCGTGTCCGCGTTTCCGCGATTCCGCGTACCGGTATCGGTGCTACATAGACCGTTAGTGTACCCTAACATGAAAAATGACTTCGTTTCCTTTTTGGGTCGTCTCAATAAAGGGATTGCTAGGTGCACTCATTTATTACTTACGGTAACTCCAACATGACTAATTTAACCTTTATCCTTTAATTAATTTAAGATTAAAATTGCTCCTTGAAGCTTCACACGTGATCCGACACTTCAAATTTAATCAATTTCAAATGCAACCCCACAATCAATTTTGGTTGGTGCATATTTACACATTAGTTTACACATAAAATCATATTTACCAATTTTTGAAATTCATTATATCCTAAATGCGTTTCATATGTGAGTTTATATTTACGTTTTTGAATTTTTAAATTTCAATCATTCTAAAAATTATTTTGTTAAGTACATTTTAAATATTTTTGTTATTATTAACTATTATTTACACCATTCCAGATTTTGGAAGATTAAGATAAAATTATTAATTTATGTTAGAAGTGATAAAAATTAAAAATTTAGTTTAAAAAAACTGCAATACTTATTTTTTATATAGAACATATACGCCTTAAGTTTATATTTTCTTTTATTATTCATAAATACACTAGAAAAGTATAATTGTGAGAGTTGATATATAATGAGAAGAAAAGAGAAATTGAACAAAAGTGTAACAGAAATTAGCCTAAATAGGGCTAAAACTAGCCTAAAATCTAAAATAAGATTACTTATGTTTTTAATTCAAAATAGGATCACATTAGTCCTATTTGGAAACATGCTTACTTTAGCTTTCCCTTTTTACCCCTGTTATGTTTTAAGCCTAGTTTAACTCATAATATTAGTACCTACATAATACCGGTCAGTTTAATACGTTAGTTATCCGTTGCTCGCGCCACCGCCTTTCTACTTCGTTTAACTTCCTCTTTTGCGGTCGGAGCTCTGCAACTGAATAAACTCAACTTGCGATTATACTGGCTATTCTTTTGCGATCATACTGGCTATTCTTTTGCGATCGGAGCTCTGCCACCGCCTTTCTTCTTCGTTTAACTTCCTCTTTTGCGATCGGAGCTCTGCAACCGAATAAACTCAACTTGCGATTATACTGGCTATTCTTTTGCGATTATACTGGCTATTCTTTTGCGATCGGAGCTCTGCGACCGCCTTTCTTCTTCGTTTAACTTCCTCTTTTGCGATCGGAGCTCTGCAACCGAATAAACTCAACCGAATAAGCTCTTCGTTTAACAGTCCTATTTGTTCTATCAGTTCTTCAACTCAACTTGCGATTACACTGGCTATTCTTCCGTGCGACGAGTTTTGGAACTCAACAAATTCAAGGTCAATCCGTTCGATCATCTCTTCAACTCAACTTAGCAATCCGTTCGATTATACTGGCTGGTATGTGAAATTCAATTTGTCGTTTGTATTTTTTTATGACCAGGTTGACGATCACAATCATTGTGTTTAATTTGGTGATTATACTGTTATTTGAGAATTCACTTTTGTTTGAATCGTTTGCTACTTACTTCGTTTTATTAACATTATCATCCTTTCTACTCTTAATCAAATTCTAATGTCTTGTTTCATGTGAGATTCATTGCTTTATCACTGTCAGGGATGTTATTGCTAAAAACTTGGCGTTTTTCATAAGGTTATATGCCTTTTTTGTTATACTGCTTTTTTGACCAAGTTCACAATCTAAATCATTGCCTTTACTTTGGCGATTATACTTTATTTGAGCTTTCACTTTTGTTTGAATCGTTTGCTATTTAATTCTGTTTCTTTGTTATTGCCATAAACTTGGCATTTGGCTATAGGTTTGTGACGTTTTTTAATTCTGTTTCTTATTCTTTTTCTCCTTAGTTGTCAATATGGATCCTGTTCTTCTGCTTATGGTGAAAGTTGATGATACTTGGGACAATGACTACAACTTCAATTGCAGATCCACCTTTGCTATGCAAGTTCTTCTCTCTCCTAACTACACAGCATTCATGGAACAATTATCTTCCATATTTTCTCCTTACAAATCAAATAACCACTTTAATCTTTCTTACATTGTTGATGGTTGTCCTCCACCTGTTTCTATCCATGATGAGGAAACGTTTCGTTTTTACCTTTATCTTAAGTCTCTTCAAACTGATTTTCAAAAATCTCCCTTGTGTGTGGAACTCTTGGTTGATCAACTTGTTGCAAAACATGTTGTATCTTGTCCCACAAATTCTGTTGCACAAACTGTTCTACCAGAAATTCCATGTTTCTTACATCAATCTTCTGGTCATATTCGTTCTTCTTTCAACAGTATTGAAGAACATTACGTCCAAGTTAATAATGAGGTCAATGTTACAGACACTTCCCAAACTCATATGACCAATACAGATGTGCTCTCTTGTAGTCCTACCCCAGAAGTTAGCTCTACTCCGTCACCTTCTTCAATGTGTAATGACAATTTTTCTGTTCATCATAATCTCGATGTCATCACTCACTATCACCCCGCTCAGATTGTATTGCATGCTATTTACAATTCTAAAGCAGATCTTCTTCACCATTTGAAGTTGTACGCAATAGATAATGTGTTCCAATTCAGGACACTAACATCAAAGAAGAAATGTTTACACGTTCTCTGCTTGGATAAAAAATGTAAATGGGCTGTGAGGGCTGTAAGACTACGTGGTGTCCAAATGTTTCAGATACGAAGGTATTTCTCCATTACTGTATATTTAGTGAACCATTCTGTCAGTCTTTTATTCCATTATGTTGGCATATTTTCCACATTCTTTTCATATTCACATTTTTAGTACTTTGTTTTCTGCAGATTTACATCATCACATACGTGCTCTTTTGATTTTCGTCAAGGCAAACATCGCCAAGCGACCTACCGCACTGTTGGAGAGCTTGTATCGCATAAATTTTTGGATGCGTCAAAAAAGCCTTATAGGCCAAATGAAATAAGGGAAGACATGCTTCTGAATCATGGTATTTCCATTTCTTACGCGCAGGCTTGGAAAGCTCAGAAGATAGCTATGCAGAAACAGTTTGGAACAGATTCTGACTCATACCAATTGCTACCGTCTTTGGCGTATGCTCTTGAAAAAGCTAATCCAAATTCTCTAATTTCTCTTATAACTTCAGAAGATAATACCTTCCGTTATTTTTTCATATCCCTCTCACCTTGGAGGGAGGCGTGGAAATATTGCAGACCAGTTCTCATTGCAGACGGGTCATTTTTGAAGGCGTATTACAAGGGTACCCTTCTCACAGCCTGTGCTCAAGATGCAAATGGCCAAATTGTCCCACTAGCATTTGGCATATGTGATTCAGAATCTAAAGAGTCTTGGATATGGTTTTTTTCTAAAGTTCGTGAAGCATTGATGTTCCGCGAGGACATGTACATTGTATCAGATAGACATATAGGCTTGCTTAGTGCAGTTAAAAAGATTTTTCCACATGCTGGTCATGGATATTGTGTTGAGAATTTGCGTCGTAACATGATTTCTAAATTCAAGGGTTCCGCGGTTGATTTAGGTTGGAAGTTCAAAGCTGCTTATATGGCTTCAACTGTGAAGGAGTATGAAGAGTACATGGCATTGTTGGATTCCGAAGATACCTGTATACGACCATGGCTAGAAAAAATTGGCAGTCATAAATGGGCAAAGTGCATGTGTGGTCCTCGTAGGTATGATATAATGACATCA